AGGTGTAGCGTCAGGGGACGGCGGAGGAGACACAGGAGGGGAACGAGGAGGAAGACGGGCCGGAGACGAGTCTTGGGGCGGGAACACAGGACCGTAGACAGGAAGGCTAGCAGGCGGTGGGGGAGACACCGTCGCGCGGCCCGGGGAGGGAAGGCCGAGCAGGCGGAGAGCGGAGACCGGTGGCGACGGCTGCTGCGGCGGCGACGACGGCTGGGCCGGAACTCTCGGACCAGCAGAGGCAGAACGACCGTCGGCAGAACACTCAACAGCAGCACCCCCAGAACCAACACCCCCAGAGCGAGAACCCCCTCCAACACCAGCGGCACCCTCAGAAGCCGCAGGACGAACAACCTCCTCCACACCAGCACCCCCAGGGGCCAAGAGGGGCAGCGGCAGTGGCGGCGACGACTGCGGTGGCGACGGCTGCGGCGGCGGCAATAGCGGCGACGACAGCGGCGGCGACGGCGGCGGCGGCTGCAGCGGGGTCGGCGACTGCGATAGTGGGGGCTGAGGCACCGGGGAAGGGGGACGTGGCAAGGACAGATCGGGAGTACCACCAGAGTCAGCAGACTCCTCAACGGGGACAACCGACGGGAGGGGAGTGACGTGAGAGACACCAGACGGGGCAGGACGAGGCGGGAGAGGGGCAGGGACTACCGGGGGAGAGGGAGCAAGGAACAGGGGGGGGGCAACCGGGAGACCTCGGTGAGGGAAGCGGCGGTAGAAGGAGACAGACTCCTCAAAGGTAACGTCACGAGAGTGGAGGAAGCGGTGAGACGGCGGGTGATAGAAAAGCCAGTCATACGAGTCCAGGGGGAAACCGAGGAAGACACAGGGGACAGTGCAGGCAGTGAGCTTGTCCGTGCCAGAGGCACGAACGTGAGCAAGGCAGCCCGAGACGTGGAACGCAGACGCGTCACCGGGGGACCCGGTCCAAAGGAAGGGCGGCGAAACCTGCGGCCGCGGGGAGCGTGGCCACAGGTTAAGCTGGTGAGCAGCGTAGCGAACAGCGAACGGCCACAGAAAATGGGGGGCATCGGCATGGATCATGGAGGTACGGGCGACCTCCATGACCAAGCCGATGCGGCGCTCAGCAACCCCATTCTGCTGTGGGGAGTCCGGCAAGGTGTATGACTGGGTGATGCCCTCCGCACGACAGAACTGTCCAAGCCGACCAGAGGCGAACTCGCCGCCATGGTCAGAGTGGAGACACAACCCACGGGAGAAGAACGTCGGGCACGTCGGCCTTCCGCTCCAGGGGAAACACCGTGGTGTAGCGCATGTAGTCGTCGACGAGCACAAGGAAGTAGCGCTCACCGCCCGGTCCGGGGACGGGGGCAGGGCCCCAAACGTCCAGGTGCAGGGTCTGAAGGGGGGCAGTAGCCGGGCGCAGCGAGGAGGAGTGTGGGGCACGGCGGAGCCGGCCCTCGACGCAAGGCGTGCACGGTGGCGCAGTCGAGGGAGGAAGGGCGGGGAGCGACGCATGGAGACCTAAGACAAGGCCGTGCTGGGACATGTGACGCAGACGAGGGAGTGCAGGGTGACCTAAGCGGTGGTGCTAGAGAAGGGACGGGTGAGTGAGGGAACGACATGAGCAAGCTGCAGCAACCTGGGAGGACGCACCTTCTGGAGGGGAGGCGGTGTCTAGGGTATACAGACCGGACACCGGGTCCCGGGGGAACGTCGCAAGGGGGGAACCTGAGACAGCCTCAGAACAGACAGCGAACCGCTCGTGCCCGGGGAACGTGGTGGTGACGCCGAGGTCCTGGAGACAGCCGACACCAACCAGGTTCCTCGAGAATGAGGGAACGTGGAGGCCTGTAAGGGAGCCCGAGGGAACTGCTGGACAGGGAAGGGACGTAGAACTGCGAGCAACGATAGGACCCGCAGAGGGGTCAGCGTGAGAGATGACAGCAGGCGTAGCAAGCGGCGTGAGCGCGGAACGGTCGCGGAAGAAGCAGGCTGAAGCACCGGAGTCGAGAGTGAAGGACAGCGCCGCAGTGGCGGGGGCAGGGAACGGAGCCGGTGCAGAGACGAGGCTAGACAAACTAGGCAGTCCTACGCCTGACACAGCAGGGGAGGCTAGGCTACACAACGGTGCAACACCTAGAGAACACAGGGTAATAAGATCCAGCAACACTAGCAGCGTCAGAATACAAGGCATGCAAAGCAGCACCTATCTGAACCATGTCTAACTCAAAGATCGGCACGCCCTGGCGGAGCAGGCTGTGCCAGTCAAGGAGGTCCAGGGTCGGGCCAAAGCGACGACGAAACAGATCGTCGAGGCGGCGGAAACAGTGGGCAGTCGGGTGCGGGCGGCGGCACAGAGTGCCGCGAAGGGGCCCGGTCTGAAGCTGGTACTGACAGGTCACAGCATTGGAGCCACTGGTAGACGCCAAGCTGCGCGGGCCGCCACCACTGCCACCACCTCCTGAGGTGCCGGGCCAACCAGGCGGGAGGCGAGCCCACTGCTGCGGGGGCTGCGGCTGGGACTGCGGCTGCTGCGGGGACGGCGGCTGCGGCGCGGGCTGCTCCTGCTGCGGCTGGGGCTGCTGCTCTTGACCACCAATGCTAGTCCCCCCAGACGGACTACTCTCACGACCACCAACACCACTACCTGCGCCACCACCCCTACCACCCTGGCGACCACGGCCACCGCGGCGCGAGCGCTGCTGCGGGTGGACCGCAGCAGCTGTCTTAGTGAGGGGGGTTGCCGTGGCGACCGCAGCCAAAACGTCAGTGAACGTGCACTGGGAGGGGGCACAGCCGTGAAAGATAGAGACTGCCGGCGCACCGCTCGACTGAGCGATAGTGTGTGGCGAGTCTCGATCTCGGTGAGGGTGTCGACAAAGGCAGTGAGAGTGAGATCAGCCGGGTGCAGGCTAAGGAAGTGATCGCGAGCACTAGCGAGGCGGTCTGGCAGGCGCATGGCGATAAAATAGAGCGTCATGCAGAAAGGGGGGGGGAGCGCAGTGAGCTGGGCAGCAGTGCTGGCAGTGCGATAGCGGGTCTCTAGGGCACGCAGGTGAGTGGCAAAATCTGCGTCGATAGGGAAAGCATAGGGAAGAGCAGGCGACCAGCAGAAGCAGACGCGGGTGTGGAATAGCGGGCAATAACAGCGTCTAAGTAAGCTTTGGCCGTCTCAATAGTAGCAAAACGCGAGCGCTGAGAGACAGGGAGGGCGTGGCTAATGGCCACCTGAGCGACTGCATCGCGGGAGTCCCAGACCGCACGGGCAAGCGCAGCAGTAGAGAAGCTCTCACGGTCATCAGAGGAGGGATCACCAGGGAGGGGAGCAGGTGCGGGGGGGCGGGGGAGCAAGCCGTCGACATGGACAACCAAAGAGTGGCCATCCTGGCGCTGACCTGTAAGGTGGCGGCGGAGATCGGAGAGCCAGGCGGCGAAGTCAACCGCATGGCCCTCGGCGTCCAGTCGGAGCACGAAGTCCGCCATCGTGCAGGGTCAGCGGCACAGCTCTACAGGAACACAGCGACGCAGGAACACAGCGACAGCCCCCTCCAGCACGGCGGCCGCGAAGCGCCTCAGCACGGGCGAGCAGAGGAGACGGAGCCCGCGGCGGCACGGCAGGACGAGCCGGGGCGAAGGGGCCAGGCAGGTGCGGTGGGGCCAGGCAGGTGCTGGCGGGGCCAGGCAGGCGCGGCGGCGCCAGGCAGGCGCGGCGGGGCCAGGCAGGCGCGGCGGGGCCAGGCAGGGGCGGCGGGGCCAGGAGGCGCGGCAGGGCCAGGCAGGCGCGACGGGCCAGGCAGGGGTGGCGGGGCCAGGAGGCGCGGCAGGGCCAGGCAGGCGCGGCGGGGCCAGGCAGCGCGGCAGGGCCAGGCAGGCGCGGCGGGGCCAGGAGGCGCGGCAGGGCGAGGCAGGCGCGGCGGGGCCATGAGGCGCGGCAGGGCCAGGCAGGCGCAGCGGGGCCCGGCAGGCGCGGCGGGGCCATGAGGCGCGGCAGGGCCAGGCAGGCGCAGCGGGGCCCGGCAGGCGCGGCGGGGCCAGGCAGGCGCGACGGGGCCAGGCAGGCGCGGCGGGGCCAGGCAGGGGCGGCGGGGCCAGGCAGGCGCGGCGGGGCCAGGCAGGCGCGACGGGGCCAGGCAGGCGCGGCGGGGCCAGGCAGGGGCGGCGGGGCAAGGAGGCGCGGCAGGGCCAGGCAGGCGCGACGGGGCCAGGTAGCGCGGTGGGGTGAGGCAGGCGCGGCGGGTGCTAGGAGGCACGAGGGGCCCAGGAGGGGCGCGACGGGCTAGGAGGCGCGACTGGGGCCCAGGAGGGGCGCGACGGGCTAGGAAGCGCTACTGGGGCCCAGGAGGGGCGCGACGGGCTAGGAGGCACACGGGGCCCAGGAGAGGTGCGACGGGGCCTAGGAGGCACGAGGGGCCCAGGAGGGGCACGGCGGGCTAGGAGGCGCGGCAGGGGCCCAGGAGGGGCGCGACGGGCTAGGGGGCACGGCAGGGGCCCAGGAGGGGCGCGACAGGTTAGGAGGCGCGACAGGGGCCCAGGAGGGGCGCGACTGGGCCTAGGAGGCGCGGCAAGGGCCCAGGAGGGGCGTGACGGGCTAGGAGGCGCGAGAGGGGCCCAGGAAGGGCGCGACGGGGCCTAGGTGGGAGCGGCGCGACGAGGCCTAGGTGAAAGCGTGACGGGGTCTAGGAGGCACGGGCGGAATTGGTAGGTGGGGGGGGGATCGAACCTACGGGTGATACCATGTCGAGAAGATAACTGAACAAGTGTTGAATAGAGAGAGAGAGAGAGAACAAGGGTATATACCTAAGAGTGTTAGTACCCTCTAAGAGGAGACCCTATACAGTCTATACAAATATGAGTTGTACATATATTTGACACAAACAACATCCGGTTTGTTTTTCCGAAACCGGTCAGGTCAAAATGTTGGTTGTGATCGAAACAGTCACAACTTCTCGCCCTGCAAACTTAGCAGAGCTGGCGAGTTGCCTCTCTGCCTGATTGTGAGCTGCAAAACTGGCAGCCCTGCCAAGTTTCCAGCCCGGCTAGCTTGCACGAAACAAACGCTTGCTCTGCAAAGCCAAGTATTCGCCAACTATTTCGTTTGAAGAATCCTTCGTTATCCTATCAGGTTCTGCCGTCCCACCTACCTAAACAGTACAAATATACAACATGCTGGGCGGGCTTTAAGTACGATTTTACCACAACAATACATAAATAACAAATTATCGCGCATGCACTGGACCTTCACGTAGATATCAAGCATGGGCTTAGTCGTCATCCTTGAACTCCCTGCGTTCGATGTAAACAAGATGGGAAAAGGGAGGGGGGAATTTAGACCTGACACACGGAATGGGTTACCAGAAAGTACGCAACCGTATAGCCAGCTGTGCACCAAAATAGTGCAAAATCGGATAAAATGCTTGTGACCCCATACCAACATCCACACCCGTCCCTCCTATTTTCTCACTGTCCCCTCCACCATGTCTCTCCACCCATTCTTCAGCCTCTCCTCACACCCTCTCCCCCTCTCGCCTTCCACGTCTGCATTACAACCTCGCCACCTTTCTCCTCTCTGCTGTGCCCCCCTCCCCCCCCCCCCCCCCCCCCTCCCCCCACCCTCACCTACCTCACTAACCCCTCATATGGAGCCCAGGTATCTTCCTCGCCCTGCTGCTCACTCGCTCCCCCTCTAAATCCCCACTCGTCACCCTCTTCGTTCACTCCTTCGCTTTCCCCTCTGACGCCCCTTGCGTGCAGTAGAGAGTATCCGTATAACCCCCCCCCCCCTCACCTACGGTCCAGGCATTCCCCCCACCCTCATCCGCAGTCCAGGAGGTATCAACCCCTCTCTCACCTGCGGTCCAGGTATCTGGGCTGCACGCCCGCGCCCTGGCAGGTGGTGCAGGTGATGGCGCCCTTGCCGCTGCAGTTGATGCACTCCGACTCCTCCCTCTCGCCGCCGCCCAGCTCCACCACCACCACGCCCGTGCCCTGGCAGAACCGGCACGACACTGCACACGGGGGGATGGGAGGGAGGGGGAGAGGGAGAAGACACATGCACGCACGCATGCATGGGAGTAGGGGGTTAGAGAGCAAGCCCGACTCCACCACCACCACGCCCGTGCCCTGGCAGAACCGACGCCTGACAGAAGCGACGCGTCACCGCCATGGAGGGATGGACGTGATGTGAAGGGACATGCAAGTTGGAAACGACCAACGCTGACATCACAATAGAGATATGGATGAAAAAAATACACAACGGGTCAAAACATTCACAGGTGGCCATGGCGTAGCGCTACTGCTTGGTAGTATGCTGAATGCAAAGCCACCCTCCTGTTCTTTCACGTTGTTACTGCTCTAACCTACGCTTTCAACAGACCAATGCCCTGTCCTCTACATCCAGGGAAACTGTCCTGCGGACACTGTTGACCTATTCCGAACAAAGCGTATGGCGACGAAGAGCTTCAAACCCTAGCGCAATACGTTCTTCAACCGTTCGGCACGTGTTTGATCGAATAGGGAAGAGGGACTTACGAGCGCCGGTGCCTTTGCAGGGGAAGCACGGCTGGTCGTTCTCGCGCTTTTCCTGGAGGAGGGCACACATGGAGGAAGGGCACACATTGAAGGGGTTGGATTGGCAAGGAGCGATTGGCGGTTGGTTGCGCTTGTGTCGTGAGCGCCAGGAAGCGCCTGGCGTGCAAGGACCAACGGCGCGGCGAGATAGCAGGTGGCGGTATTGGCGGACGAACAGAATGAGAACCGAGAGAATTACAGGGAAGAAATCCTCCGTTGACTGCTTAACGATCCCTTGACGGCTAACCGACCCCTTGACGGCTTACCGATCCCTTGACGGCGACCTCGTAGAAGACGGGAATGCCAATGCCCACGGCAAGCCCGGCCAGCCCCACGCCGATGCCCACGAGCTGCCAGAGCACGGAAATCGGACGGTTAAACGGTTAAACGGTCAGACGATTAGACGGTCAAAGAGGCTCGCAAGGAGCGAAGGGGTTTGGACGTTGGAACTGACAGCGCGATGAAGGTGCGGTTTACCTGGGAGAGAAGAACTCCGCCATAAAACGGGTTCATTAAAGCAACCACACGCGGCGTATAGCGAGGATCATGCAAACGTCTAGATTTCCAATCTTTGGGTAAGCGACAGTGTCAAACGTATCTTTACAGTAAAAAAATATTACAGGGAAGCAAAATTAAAAAGATATAATGCCTGTTCCACTCAGGTATACAGACGCGGATGCAAGGGAGGCTCACCGTGTCGCTGTCCAGTTCTGCACGCGGCGTCACGACGGCCGGCCTCCCCTTGGCAGCGCGGGAGGCTGCGGACGGGGTGCAGGGGCAGAGCGATGACGCGCAGCCGAACGACGCGGACTTGGCGGAAGACAGCGCGGACGGCGCGGCCGCCGCCGTGGATGGTTGCCGAAAGGATACGGCGACGCGAAATACAGGGACCGCAGCCATGGCTGACTATTTCAAGATACCAATTTTGCTAAGCAATGTGTGCATGGTCTCTTATGTGAACGCAGGGCTGCAGACCAATGGGGTGGGAAGGAGGGTGTCAGTTCCGGAATGTTCAAGGAACATTTCGAGCCAATTGCACTTCGGGAGTCAACGTTCGCGATTCGAAACACCTAGAGCGGATTGGCACCTTGAGGTGAAACAAACAATGGTAAGCAATGGTAGTGGGTGTTTTAAAGGTGTACAATGGTAGTGGGCGCGTACAGATTCCACGAGGAACGGACCTCACAGGAACACAACCTTGGCTGAATCCTGAAGGGGCGCAACAGCGTGGTGTGGCGTGGGGAGGGGACGCGTGGCATTGTTTCTGATGCTGGTTACACGTGTTTCTCCAAGGGTTTCAAATTCTCATGCCAGGTCAGCAACGTATGAGAAGCGAGGAGAAGGAGATCGCGCGCTTCGACGAAAATCAAGAATGGTTCGAAACGGTCGACCCTTTTTGCGCGCGATGTATGGCATTCCCCCGTTACCCAAAACGGTCTAACCCCCCCCCCCAACTCTACCTGTTTTCGTTTTGATGTGCGGAATATTGGAAATGTAATTTTGGGTCACTGTGAAAACATTTGCCGGATCCCAATTCAACTATTGCGCAAACATGCATTTACTGGGTCGCGACAAAAATCTGCCCGTGCCTGCCTGTCCCATGCACCTAGCATTAACGCACGTTTTGGAGTCATCTGACTCTCGCCTCGCAAGTGCCGGGGCTTACGTTTGGTTTTTGGGGCACCCGTCAGATCCGGGTATCCGGCCAAAGCTACCCATCAGAATCCGTGTTCAGCACTCTGTTCTGTCAAAATTCGCACGTTCAATCCGAGTTTCATAGCCAGTTCTGCCAAAATTCACCCGTCAGAATCCGGGTTCAAACCCTGTTTTTGGAAAAGCTCCCCATCGGAATCTGGGTTTAACGAAAACCTCACCCGCTATTTTGTCGAAATCCGGATAGTTGCCGGTCAAAATACGCCCTACCAGCGACATGCGTCATGAGAAAAGATGAGGCCTCCCGAGATCTCGTGTGAAGGCCAGCTAACATCTCGCGAGACCTCGCGGCAACCGTGAATGGTGCCTGGCAGATCTGGATTTGTCTAGCGGGAAAAAGGAAAACCCAAAGTTGCCACTCTGCTGGACTCGCGAGATTCGAGAGACAAGCAATTATGGCATGCTGAGGTGTACAGGGGGTATGCCATTAGGTCCGTGACATTTTACTCCATATAATACTCCAAGGTCCGGAATTTGATAAGATCCGGCACGATGTACTTCGTCTATACGGTATACATCTACTATTAACTTCACTAAAAAAGCGCAATAAAACATTGTGACCAATCACGATAGTCGCATAATGCCACCGACCATCGAGTCGCGCCACCCGAATTGGGTGCGATCGCAGCATGCGAGTGTCGCCAAGCAACCCGCGAGTGCGAGCTCGGAAATTCCTCGTGAACAGTGCTTGGAATTGCCCGGCCAATACGCGCTTGCCAGGGCGATAAGACGTAATCACGACGGACCGGGGGGCAACAGCCAGCTGGCACCCCCGTCCACCTGGCACTTTTGCATGCGCGCTGACATGGGCATGAATCCGTACCCCCTTTTCATCCATTCTTTCTTATTATTACGGTCCTATTCTAATCCTCGTGTCAAGAACATTCGAGGCGTTTTCCATATTTTATAACCAATCACGTAAATATTCAGGCTTTCCGCGTGACACGAACAAGTCCGTCCCGAATATGAAAACACGACCCACTGTCCCTCAATCACCATTAACTAGTGCACATTTCGAAAATGTTTTTCTTCAATGGTTTTTTTCACCTACGTGAAAGTGTGTGATTGGTTAACAAAACCGCTCATACGAGTCGTCATAATTTCGTTACGTTAAGCCCTTTTCGTAACACCACCAAAAGGGTTTTTCAAATTATATGATTTGCGCGTTTTGAGCCAGCGCTGCTTGCAGAAGGTCGAGAACGAGGTGTTACTTCTATTGTCCACGGTAATTCTGACCAGACGACAAGTTCGCTGAACGTTTTTTAAGAAGCCACATGAGCCCTCACATGACACGCGGCGAAATCGTTGGTAACCTGGCCCAAGGGCCAATACGCCAAGGCATAATCGTGAACAGAAAGAGTAAAACGGCCTATGCCACCCCACCTAAAACCGTACGTGCTACTCGATAATCCATTTTGCCCGTAGTGAACCGCTCCTATTCGTCGTAGTCCATATTTGCGAGTCGCCAATTTGGAGCATAGAGCATACCCGCTGTACAACCCCCACGAAAACGGAAAACGTGGCCAGTAATGATGACGTTGTGCCCAAAATGATTGCGTGTGCCTTTGTCGAATGCCGCGGCCCTTAATGTGCCGTCATTGTTTGTCGTATTACTCTTTATTGGACCCTACATATGTTGCCCTGAAAAAACGTAGTGGCATCTGAACCCACTACGAAAATGGGTACAGTCGCGGGGGGGGGGGGGGGTCGACTGTTTTGGGTAACGGGGGCATGCCATACATCGCACACAAAAAGGGTCGACCGTTTTTAACCATTCTTGATTTTTGTCGAAGCGCGCGATTTCCTTAGAAGCGAGACATTTCGCCAGAGCCGAACAACCGAACAGCCCAACGGGGACCCGAACGGCCAAGTAGCGAGGACGAAGAGGAGTAAATAACAAGTGCGAATACATGCGACACATTTATAGACGAACAGCGGTAAACTCAGGGACTTAGATATCATGATGTTTTATCATGAATTCCTGATTTCAGGATGCCAATTAGGTGCCAAACCTGAAAAATAAGTTTAAGGTAAAATTTCACCCTGTGAATTCAGCTTTCAATCATAGTGCAACCCTGAGGATTCAGTCAAGTGTTCGTGTACCTGCCGTGAGCTTTCAGTATGCCTTCGGGGATAACCCTGATTCGTCAAATCTTGCAAATGCACGTACCTTTTGTTTTTTCCGCCCAAAAACATTTGGGTGAAGTCATCAATTTTAGCGACAATCCTTTGAAACCCCCCGCTACTCCAAAAATTAGGCCAAGTCCTGAATGCTAGAATGCGTCTCATATCAAACAGTGAAATTGATGAATAGAGAGAGAGAGTACACAAACATATACCTAACTGTTGTACTCTCTAGAAGATGACCCTATACAGTCTATACAAGCATGATAACTAAACATGTTTGACACACCCCCTGGACTGCATAGGGGAATGTTCTAGACAAGCAGCTTAGGGTGGCACTACTAGTCCAGCCTCTGAGACAAGGGTCTAAAAGACCAGTCAGAAGGAGTACAGGCAAGGCAAGAACTAGTACAGGGCGGCACTACTAGTCCAACCACTGTAAGAGGACACAAGTCCAGTCTGAGTGTACACACAGATATATAGGACAGTACAGAGTCAAGGCCCGAGTAAGTGAGAGACTACAGGAACCAGACCAAGCTGTACACAGTGCCGCTGATGATCTTTAGGCGCAAGCGCCTTCGTAAAGATATCAGCTGTGTTGGCACCGGAGGCTAAGTGTACTACGCGAGCCTGGCGACGCTGCTGTAGCTCACGCAGGAGGAAGTACCGCAGCTGGATGTGCTTCGCTCTGCCCTCGAGTCGAGGCTCCTGACACAGGAGGATCATGGCCCTGTTGTCAGCGTACAGGACCGGGGCAGAGCTAGGCCGCTCACCTAAGTCAGTGAGCAAGAAGGTCAGCCAGCGGAGCTCCTGTGCCGCCATGGCACCGGCGTAGATCTCGGCCTCACAGCTGGACTGGGCAACAGACGAAGAGCGGGTAGCTCTCCACGAGACAGCACCTGAACCAAGGCTAAAGCAGTAGCCCTGGGAAGACCTGAGCGTCTCGGCGTCGTCTGCCCAAGAAGCGTCTGTGTGTCCAGTAAGGACCACTGGCCTGCGTCCGCCTAGCACTAACCCCATGCCCGATGTACTTGCAAGATAACGCAAAACCCTCTTAGCGGCAGACCAGTGCTGAGGTCGGTGCCTGCCTGTGGCCACGAAACGAGCCAGGATGCTGAGAGGGTATGCGAGATCTGGGCGAGTGCAAGTCATCAGGTACATGAGGCAACCCACTAGCTCAGCGTAAGGACCACTGGGATCTACCGACTCCTCAGGAACTGGAGCGGAGAGTCTGTGGTCTAGAGGAAGAGGGGTGGGCTGTGCGGAGGAGAACTGAAGGCCGAACCTCTGAAGGACCTGGCGCACCAAGTGTGACTGAGTCAGGGTGATGGTGCGCGCGGCTCTGTCCCTGGAGATCTGCAAGCCAAGGTAACGGCGCAGCTCTCCAAGGTCAGTGCAGGTGTGTCTCTTCAGCAGCTCTGCCTTCACGGAGGCCAGTGCGTCCCTGTCAGCAGTGGCAAAGACCAGGTCGTCTACGTAGACGAGGATGTAGAACGGAGTCGAGCCAGCACGGACGAAGAGCGAGGGGTCTGCAGAGGACGGAAAGAACTGCAGGTCAGCAAGGGTAGCACGCAAAGTGTCGTGCCACTCACGAGGCGCCTGGCGCAGGCCGTAGACTGGCCGCCGCAGAAGCCACTGGGTCCCAGGGGGGAAGGTGCCAGTAAAGCCCTGAGGGCGACGCAGGTAGACCTGCTCGTGAAGGCTGCCCTGAAGAAAGGCAGTGGAGAAGTCGAGGGAGTGAAGCTCGTAGTCACGCTGACCCGCTACGTGTAGCAGCACCCGAAGAGTAGTCATCTTCGGGGTAGGAGCGAAAGTCTGAAAGAAGTCCACCCCCTCGCGCTGACTGAAGCCTCTAGCCACGTAGCGCGCCTTGAACACAGGCGGCTCTCCAGGAGGGCGCTTCACCTTGAAGAGCCAACGGCCATCGACCACGTTCACCCCAGGTGGGGGAACTGCGTCGACGAAGGTGCCGGTGGATCTCCAAGATGCCATCTCCTGCTCCATGGCAGCTATCCACTGAGAGGCCCAGGGTCCCGAAACCGCCTCAGCGTAAGTACGAGGGATCGGGATGTCGAAAGCGTCTGGGTCACC